ACCGAGAATGCCCTTGCCGATTCAATTGATGTGATTGGAATCGTGTTTAATGCATTTAAGAGAAGACAGAATATTATGTGTTTTTCACCTGTAGCCTGGGAGATTTCTAGTTCGTTTTCGAGATTGTAGTAAAGATCATACTTCTTTTGCTCTCTAGTATTCTTGCTTTGTTTACCTCGACAGCTTTAATTAATAGAAATATCATAGCCAAATAATTCGGCAGTTCGTTTGTCTTTAATAATCAGGTTATGAAGAAAAACTTCATACTTACATACTTCGTACTCGTTTGTATCCTTACCCGAATTTGCACAACTTGGCGTTACGCAGTTATTGAAGCTACTGGGCATGGTTAAAAATAAAGACAGCAAAAGCACAATTATTCTAGATATTACACGTTCAGGTAATCGGGATTACTTGCTACAACGGGATTAGTAGTATCTGGTAGGTTACTAAGTTTACTTAGAAGAAAATAAATCTTTTGAAGTTCTTTAATGGCTTTACTTAAAAGAGATGGGGCTTTATTGACCAGACTGGCAAACAATAATCATATATGGATTGAAAATTCGTAAAATAAAGAACTCTTACTACTGACCCATCCGATGTACAGTAGGTTTTGCATTAGACTAACTTCTATGATATGCTGTATATGTTTGGACTGCTTTATGAATTAAACGTCAGTATAAATATTTCCCGATAGATAATAAGTGAAATATTATTACAGAAGCCAATTTTGCCAATTATTTTCTAGAAACTGAAAAAAAAATAAGATTTAGGTTTTCTTAATTTTACTTTACATTTTTATTAGTTTTAAAGGATATTTCCACACGATGTATGTAGCACGCTTTTACTTTCCTAGCTGTTATGTATACATAATAAGGGAAAGTAATGGAATCGTGTCAAATTTGACCCTCCGAGTTTTTTGCAAATCTATACGTTTCGGTACACCTGAACCCAAAAAGTCAAAAAAAAAAAAAAAAAAAGGAAAAAAATTCCGTGGATATGTATGTGTGTGTGTGTTTGTTGGCGTCTATGTCGATTAATATCTCATGACGAAGTGAAGATAAAGAAACGAAATTTGGCATGGTAGCTTCTATATAAGGGGCATTGATGCTATTAAATTTTGGTTGCAAAAGGTCACAGGAATGGAGAGATAGAGGGTGGTCACGTGATATATCTCGTTACAGTTAAGACTTAATGAATATTTTACTTGTTATTAGCATTTATAGTGTTTCATGCAACCCATTTCTACCTTAAAAATTAAGTATTTTGCTATTTTATAATAATTAAAAATACATAAAGTGTTTATAACAAAATCTCATAAAAGCCGGGAAAGTTAGTCAACACGTTGCTACATTTTTTTTTTCTTTACGTTAGAAAAAAATTAAACTTGTGTAAAAATGATTGAAAATACTCTGTTTATAATTTAAAATATAAAAACCCTTACAATTACTAACAAAGTGGGCATAGGAATGAATTTGTATTAGTAATTTCAAATCAATTATATTCTCAATTCTATAGTTCTGCAGTTCCCTAGTTCTTGCAGTATCTTAATGGCGGCACGACGGTGGCACCACAGTACGGGAAAATACACGAACCTTCACTGGAAACTTGTGGGTATCATAAATAAGAATTGTCGTGTCTAATTTTTGGTAGTTTGAAAGAAATATTATGTTGTCAAAAAATAAACTTGTTCATTTTCAACTATCTATGTGTATCCTTTGCTATTTTACAACCCTTAAAACCTTAAGTATTCCTTTCTGCCCTGGTTTCCTCTATACAGATAGAGTAGGGTTAAATAATAATATAAAATCAAAATTATTATAAATAAATTAAATAAATTTATAAAAACATTACATATTCATGAATTTTACTTCAATATCGATTTAAATAGCTTTGAAGGTGGTCAACATAAATTTAAATAGCTTGTGAAAACTGAAAATATTTAATTATATTATTAATTTAATTAAGAATTAAAACGTTTAGTTGACTTTTAATTTTTTTCAGATCAGAAATCTTAGATCGGTATTAAAAAATCTAAGTAAAAATATGCATAATATGATATTTTTAATTCGTTATAGATGCAAATGCATATGTATAAAATGTAATATATTTTTAAAATGATTGTATAAAAATAATTTTCTTAAATAAGTAGCTGTTTTAGAAAATAACTTGCCATTATTTAAATAGATATTTATATAAAAACTTATCAAAATTAATATCTTATAAAAGCTACATACGCATGAATATACAGTATTCAGCATAACACATAAGAATGTATTAATGAAAGAATGAATAATTTCAGAATTATTGTTCGACAATGCTGCTTGGAGTTATTGTGGTATTAATATTGTTATTATATTTCTTAAAAAAATGTTTCTATCAATATTATATAGTGTTTGTAATTTTAAAATATAAATACATACATTAAATCAATAAAACTGCGAGCTAGTAAAATAATCAAAATAGTTTTAAATGTAAAATCATAATTGTTTTTAATGATCATACGTAAAATTATATTTTTTATTCCCAAGAATTTAATGTAAATTTAATTACAATATAAATTGTATACATAATTAATTAAAAATCGAATTTAGTTGAATGTAGATCTATAAGAGATATTGACAATTCTAAAAATATAAAAGCCGATTTTCTCTGTAATAGATAAATATTTTCATAACAGTTTTCTATATATGACAAATTATTAAATAGATTTTTAAAATCGATTAAATTATATTATTAATCTTTAATTTTTAAATAATTTAATTTTCATTAAAATAAATAGTTATATAAAAATTTATGTTCTAAACCTAATTAAAAAAAATTAAACATAATATAAAACTTTCATTTGAATGTTAAAGAATTGAAATTGATATACAATTTTCATTATTATTATTTTCCGCANTTTTTGTAATACAGAGTTTATTGGAAATTAATGGATCACTTGACATTTTTTGAGTTAACCTCAGGTTTACATTGGTCATATCGCCTATTCCAATCTGATAAACATATCACAAATTTATTACTAGACTAGGTTTATTATATCAATACAAGTTTGTGGAATTTGTATGAAATTGGAATTCGTTATTATTGATAAGTTAATTAAACGAATTGAATAGCTGGTTAAACATGTTTACGTTAATATTTTTTTGTATTTATATATCAGAAGATATAATAAAGTAAAGAATAAAAATAATAAAATGGCGCTATTAATGTCAGCAATAAAATTTCTTTTTCTGCAGTAAAAATTATTTAACAATTTAAATTCCACACTTAAGCTTTCTGTTTAAGCAATCTTGTATGTTTGAAAAATTACGAGTAAAAAATTTTACTAGAACATATATTTCATGAAATTATCAATATTAGGTAGGACATTAAATAATACAAATATGTAAATTTAAAGACCTACATAATCAAATATATTTTATTGGGAACTTTTTTTATTCTTCTTAACAGCTGGTTTCAAAAATTAATATAAACAAAATCTAATGGCTTGTCTATGTTTACTTTTGCATTATATATTTTATAATTTATAAACTTTCACGTTATTTGTAAATTTTTGCCTATTTTTTGCTCCAGTTATTCTTAACTGGATGCTATATGCCAAGTTAATAAATTGTAAATTGAAATCAAGGTTTTAAAATAAACATCATGTAATTATTGTGTATATTTATTAACATGTAACGAGTTGTTAAATTTCTCGCTTTCTTTGTTTTATAAAGCGAAGTATTATAAAATATTTCTAATAATATTAATAAAAGGAGTATTTTTTCTATTAATTTTTTTGTTTTTAATGACTGCCGTATTATTTTACGACTTATAAGATGCACTCCCATTTCAGCACAGAATATTTAGGAAAAAATATTTAGTGTATTTAAGTCATTCTGTATAATCTGATAAAATGATAATGTAAATAATAATATATTTAAGCCTTTAGAAAAGGTAACTCCTTAACTTTGAAGAGTTGGATGCATATGACTAACGATCGATTGATAAGATTTTCAAGTTATCTAATAGTTACAATAGTTAGTAATAATAATAATATGTTTAACTTAATAACATTAAACATTTTTATTCATGAGTTGGACTAAACAGTGATTAGACTGTGGCCTTTTGAAGTCCATTAGAGAAATTCAGTGCCGCGTTATAACTTTATGGGACCCAGGCGAATTTGAATTAGGATGTCCCGTGTAGTGTTTGTTGCCTTCAGACATTTTCCTTCGGGGGAATTTTTAGGGAGAAATATTTTCTTATAAAAGATTGGTTTGTCCAATCTTTTATAAGCATTACTTATAGGCAAAAAGGGCAATTACTTTTTTGCCCATAAGTTGATGCGCCACTAAGAAAATTCATTAGCATGAGAGATCGAAATTTTACATGTAATAGACAGGGCGATTTTTTGGATTTTTTTTTTTTTTTGTAGGAAAAATGTCACGTCTTACATGACGTAAAATACGGTACTTTTCAAAAGTCGCCATGTTCAATGTTACGAAAACAACAAAAAAGGTCTAATGATAATGATTTCGTTAACCAGAAGATTGATAAGATCACTCTCACGAATTTCTTTACTAGCAATACTTAAAATCTATTTTCTTAACCGGAAAAAATCTCAACATCTAAATTATTGAATCAATTATCATTTTGTATTTTGGTAAAGCAAAATATAAAATTCTTTAAATATAATAACTTCATATATATATTAAATAGAATATTCTTAACCTTGATGATTGCAGCACATCTTAAAGATTTGATCTTAAACGTCATATCTATGCAGAAGACAACAGAATAGATAGTAAATAAAACAATTTTTCAAGAATAATTAAATATTTTAACAAGTTCATAGTAATTACTCTCTTCGATATTTATTTATCGAATGTAAGATCAAATTTTCTTAGTATCTTTCCTAAATTTGATTTAAAATTCTTCTTAGATTAAGTTTTAAACACAAGTTATATTTTAAAATCTTTTGATAATTTTGATAAACTATAAAAAAATATATTGTTAGAATTATAAAAATATTTTAATAAGCAATTATTTTAATAACAAAAATTGTTTTTCTTTTTGTTGAAGACTTTATTTTGTTTCTTCATTTTCATTCGTTTCTGGAGAAACAACAGAAGGTTCTTCCTCATGTGAATTTTCTTCTTTTGGTAACTGTAAAGTTAATTAAAAAATAATAATGATAATGATATAAAACTGTTTCCGCTGCTATATTAATATGTGATAGAGATACACGACATATTTTCAATTGCTAAATCATGAATAACTGACTATAACTTTTAATAGATCGCCCAACGGAAGAAAATATTAATGCTTAATACTTGAAATATATATTTTATATTCTATTTACACTATAAGTATCGAGATAAAAATATTTTAATAAATTATATGAAAAATCTGATAAACATATCACAAATTTATTACTAGACTAGGTTTATTATTTCAATACAAGTTTGTGGAATTTGTATGAAATTGGAATTCGTTATTATTGATAAGTTAATTAAACGAATTGAATAGCTGGTTAAACATGTTTACGTTTATATCTTACGTATTTTATTATATAATTATATTATTGTCTAGCGTTTAAAAATTACTAGTAAAATTATTTTCTCACATTAACTTTCAGATAATTTTTCTGTTCACTTTAATAATAAATTCTAAAAATTTAGATGGTACAACTGAATTATAAATTATTTATAAAAATATTAACTTAAAATTATATAATTACATTAAGATTTATTTTATGGTTAATTTAAATCTACCTGATCAGTAGAATTTGGGGAAACGACTAACTCATTTTCTGTTAACTCTTCTGATTTTAAAATTGTTTGAGCTTGCTCTTCTAGCCGCTAAAGGGAAAAAATCAAAAACTTTTATGCCTATTTAAATGCTTTTAATATACAGTAATTATATAATAATTTTAAAACTTCGAAACAATTGTTACGTTTTATTATACAGTATTGGAAAATATTCGTTTGTATATGTATAAAGGAACAAAACAATAAATGAGAAAAAGGAAGAAAAACCAGCATAATTTTAATTTTCTGGAATATCATTTTGGCCTTCTTGAAAGAGGTTCACCCCTCTTTTACGAAGAAAAGAGAAAATTTGAGTATAAAAACAATTTCTAGTGAAAGGAAAAAATCTTTTACGAATATTATAAAAAGAACAGGTGTAACAAGTATAAAAAGAAAAATAATTTGAAAAATTACCAAAAATAATAAATAACAAAGCAACTATATTTACACACAATATATAAAATTTTAATGATAATTTAATACAGTAGAGGAGAAGGCGGTATTATGGAACCCCAATTACATTATAGTGAATTGTAAACAAGGTATCATAACTACACCCACGTTTCTTGTGCAAAAAGTACTGGTAACTATTAAACTAAATGTTCCTGATTGGATTTTTTGCTAGTGTAACTATAAGTATGGTTTTTGAAGGCTTCTGTACAAAAAGTCAGAAAATAGGCTTAGGGAAAACCGGGTGGTAATATGGAACCTTAGTGTATATTTTCAAAAAATGCTTTAATGTATCCAAAAAAAATAGGAAAGTACAAAGAATGTTAAATAATTACAAAATTATTTACTCCAATATATTTTATCGAAAAAATGCTTTTATAATAGAAAAATATGACCTCCATCAACAATATATATTCCAGCAGTCTTTTACGATATTCTCAGGAAGAATTGGCTTTCTACCTAGTATCTTTTCCACAAATTGCTCCGGACGAATGTCTGCTTCCAAAGAGAGAGTTCGGAAGAGTTGGGTTCCATATTAAAAGCACCAATGGGGTCCGTATTTCACGCATCGCCATCTTGAATTAACTTATGTCTGTCAAGACCAAACTTTAAAAAACGTGAACATCACACAGATTAATACGTACCCTAAGTTTCTGGAACGGAATACATGCACCAGCTAACCTACAACTACACGATTTATATTTTAGAAATAATTAAATTCACTTAGCATTCAAAACTTTCGAATTTCGAAAAACACAAATATGCTAATTCACTACGGACAACCGTTTAACTGAAGTGAAACGGGTTTTCCCCTTGCTATGGATATCTGCCCAGTGCAGTTCAGCCACAATCCGCTACAATTCGCCTTTATTATCAATTTAAAATGGAGGGGTTCCATAATACCACCTTTTCCTCTATTATATAATAATTTCTAAGAACGAAATTTAAAAATAGAATGGCATCTTATTTTAACGGAGGGGATCATAAGGGAGACACATGCCATGACTAAATGTTTCAATGCAATCTGCCACCGGATTTTGTTAATAGATCTACTTAATTATTTTTCAATGCATTAGTATTATTTTAATTTAAATCTATCTAATGCATTTGAGTTCAATTTCATGTTGTTGGATTTACGCATAAATATTTATTTGATGTCCATAGTATATTTTAACTGTAATACTGTGGTATGTTAAAATAATTTAATAATCTAATGAGAACCGAGATGATACTATAAAATTAACAGCCGTTTTTATATATTAATTTATTAAATTAATTTCTCTTAAAATCATTCTTTCATTATTTTTAAAATCCTGTTTTCAATTTATCGAGTTAACTAGTTTGTTATAATTCAAATTCAAGTAAAATTCTATAAGCCTAATTAGAATATTTATTGTAAAATAAATTACCTGAGAAGGTTTAGGTGGATGCTTCTTAATAATACTTTCTTCATTTTTTTCTTCTTCCTTCGTCTCCTCTATAACAAAAAATTTCAATTAACTAAATAATAAAAATCGACACAAATACAAATACAAAGACAAAAAAAAAAATTCTCTTGTATTCATATGTGAAGAGAAAAAGTTTATTATTGTAAAAATATTCGTAAAATTGATGGATGTTTTGCTTTTGACGAACACGTGCCAATCTAAACATTTTTGAATTGATCAATCTGGTTGCCAAGGGACATCATAAACAATGAAAATTGATTCAGTTTTCTTAAACATGAAAAGCGACCTCTAACAAAGAAAATTTACCTTCTACTTTCTCATCTGCTCCAATAGTCTTATCTGAATTTGAATCGGGAGTTGTGCCCGTCGATTTGGATGCCCCACATCCCATCTTCAAACTTTGATCATTATTATCTGATAACAATTAGAAAAAAAACATTATTTTAAACAAATCAAATTATTACAACTTTTATCGTATAGATTAGATGTTTTATTTTTATTTTACATTTCAATAGGAGCTTTCAACATTGACATTCAATATTTCTAAGTAAAGGATAAAAGTTAATGAAAATACATCATAAACATACATACCTCAATAATGATAGCTACATTTATATATAATCGTAATCAGCATGCACTTTTTTGCGGATTAGTCCATAATATCTTTAAAAACTGTGCAAAAGTATAACATCCACTTTTTCTAGTTTTCTAAATGAACTGCAGATTAGTGTTTTGCAAACTAAACTAAGGCTGTTAAAACTATTCACTCTATTGATCTCGGAAGCTCAACATGGATAAGAATGTCGATCAATGTTAGTTGTTGGTTGATTGGTTTACAGTAAATGTACTAATGATGTCATTACGAAACAACCAATAGCGGAAAATAGTTCTATGAATTTGTGTCAAACCAGATAAGATCGATTGTTTTTATATAAATTATTCAACTAAACGTAATCTCTAACTTCCGTGACATAAACAAAAAATTAATTGCTGAATATTTGTTTACTTATTTGTTTCTTAAAACTTAATTTTGTTGCATTAATACAAATAAATTTAATAGAAAATAATTGTAACTAAGAACGAAATTTCAATTTCGGATATAAAGTCTCAAAAAGAGAAACAGAATCAAATATTGTGTTAATAATAATTTTCTTATATATTTGTGAGAAATAAAAAGTTAATTTTTGAAGTAGCATACGTAAAATAATTTAGAAAAAGTCAATTAAATACGGTTAGAAAGAAATGAAATGATATAAATGTCGAGAAGCGGAAGAGAATAGCGAAGAAAAAAATTCGCATTTTAATCAAAGATACACAGAGTATTATCGAAGAATTTCATACGTTACATATAATAACCGATAAATAAAATGCACTGTACGAGTGTAAAAATAATAACAAAATGATTCTCATTCAATATAGCTCAATATAGCGCAATATTGATATATATATATTTAAACCATAACAACTTTGAGAGAATATAACCATCGGAATAAAATGTGAGAAGAATATCTAACGTCATGTGAACTTCAGTGAACGTTAACCAAATTTAACTCAATAGATATCCAATTTAAACAAAGATGGCGAATAGTGAATCTCTGCTTTTAGATAGAATTTTAGAATAGAGAGAACTCTAAATTCTCTCTATTCTAAAATTCCCTAACTTATGTCTTCATTAAAAAATCATAAGTTAGTAGTTTCAGACTTTTAGATAAGAACCGATGAAATAAAAAATAGCAATCATAGGCCGGCAATGATTTTCTAAGTGTCAGTAACAACTTAGGTAATTTTTACATACAGTATTTTTTCTCCTTACTGAGTTATATTATGTATATAAACGAGGCATATTCGTAAAGATACAAAGTCCAAAAAACATTTCTAAAGCACTTTATTTTTAGATTGACTTATATTTTTATGACATGTTTTTATTTATTTTTCGGCATAGTTACCATAGAACTCAATGTATTTGATGATCCTGGAAAGAAGTTTTTTCCTGCCGACGTCATAGAAATCGCTCGCCCGCTCTCGTAACCCTGTCATCACTGCGTCTTGCTCGTCGTCATTCAACTTCTTTCCAGAGAGATATTCCTTCAACTTCAGAAACAAGTGATAATCATTTGTTGCGAGATCTGGGATGTTCCAAAACTCCCACTTGAATGTCTGCAATAACTCTTGTGCGACGCGAGCAGTATGCGGATGGGCGACACCATGACAAGAGTCTAGTTCTCTGGTAAACATTAGTTCTAAATTATGCCGCTACGGCAAACAGCGCCAATCGCGGGAACTGGATTCTTTGGGTGCGTTCTTTTATTCCTCCGCATAACTCCGCGCGAGCGACATCCGTTTAAAAATTCCTGCGGAACGCGTTCCTAAATTCTGGTCGGAGTGCGCGCCGTCAAACGGCAAAAACGGCCGCTTGTAGCAGTAGTTTGCGGTGGAAAGCAACATGGCGTCCTCCATGGCTCAGATAGTTTCGTTTCGGGGGGGTCCATTCCTCGGGTGGTTTTATGAATGAAAATTTAGAAGTTGTGAAAGCGCAAGTTAGTGCACGCGGTGATGTAAGTCTTTTCGACCTTTTTTCGGATAGTAGCCGGCATTCTAATTTTTTTCGTGGCTATTTTGAATGCTCTTTCAACAAATAATCCATTTTATGGTTAAATTTTACAATTGGGACTCTTCTTTTGCCTTTAAAAGCTCATATTTTACAATTATAGATTCCTCCGTCACGATACTATCGATAGTGCGGGCGCCGCCATCTTTCTTTCTTTCACCGTCGTTCCTAAATGCCTACAAACAGCAGCGCACTCCAGTAGTAGCGAAGACGCAGAGCGACTTCGCTATTAACGAACGCACCCTTTGATTCAGTGTTTCGTTGTCTTTGTTGAAAATGGAATGCAGTATATGTAATTTAAAGTACAAGTATAAGCAAAGTTTAAGCAGACATATGAAAGAGAAGCATAAAAGGAAGAACTATAACAGGAATTATGAAGTCATAAAATTATTTAAATGTAGTTTGTGTTCAAGTGAATTTCATAAAAAAAAAAATATTATTACACTTCAGAGAGCTACGCGGTCTTACTATATCTAATTATAATCAGACATTTGATTCATTTAGTGATTTAAGAAATGGAAACGGCAGTGGCGTGCCGTGACATTTGATGATAGGAAAGCTGACATTCAATATTTCAAGTTTCCATAAAAATTTTAAACAAATACTGCAAATGACAAAAATAAACAGTTTATTTATTTAATTCTAAAATATATAATTGAGACGAAACAAAGATATAAAAACTCGTTTTTATTATTTTCTATAAACTAAATCTATTCGGCATTTTTTCCGCAAAATCGTTAATTACTTTATCATAAAAATCGCTCGTCGTCGATTCCATCAAAGTATTTAAAAGCTCTTTTTCTATCGAAAGTAACGCAAGTGACGACAATCTTTTCTCGGACTGAATGTTCCTTGTGCTTCACGGTTGAAAAACTACGCTCAACAGACGCACTGGAAGATGGTACCGAAAAATTAATGGTACTGTATTAAATCATATAATTCTTTTAGTACATCTTTGTTCAGATAGTCATTAATTATAATATTTTTTATGTCTAAGAGTGACTTGCCAATATAAGAGAGGTTGTGGCCAAAACGTGAACGGCGGACGGACGAGCGCCGCCATCTGGCAATTCTATACGGTCGATAATGACGTTTGCTACGTCTAGCATGGCGAGTAGAAGTTTGGCTTAAACTTTTTCATTTTTTTTGTGTGTTTGGGGTTATAATTATGACGTATTTTATTAAAGTAATGACTATTTAAGCATTTATGAATAATATTGTAAAGAAACAGATGATTTGAATCCAGAAAGTATTTACTTATTCAATTTTTTTGCAAGTGATGTGAAGTGCGTATAGAATATACATGTATTTCTGTTCATAATAGCTTATCATAATTCTGTAGGAGTAGGTTTGTTCTTTCACAGCATCTTCTACTATCAACAGCGTAATACGTTTGTAAAGTTTCTAAAAATAATTTTCCGAGCTGCTTTCGGATTTACATAAGCCACTACTTCCCTCGACAAAAGTATAAGGTAGTCCTATCGTACGGTAGGAGACACGATGCTAATTAAAAATAATTATTTAGTGTTATTACACATACTATAAATACTTTAAAATAGTTTAATTTGTTTATTTACATTCGCTAGTAACATTCGTCATTGTTAAATGTTTCCATTTTTCAACAATGCGCGACGTGAACGTGTGGCGCAACGTGTTTTACTTGGAGTTCAAACGTCAAACGTGTACTTCTGCTTGCCGTACAAGTTATATGTTTGAACTTCGGTCGCAACCTTTCTAATAGCTTATCATGATTCTGTAAGAGTAGGTTTGTTCTTTCGCATAAAAGAAAAGAATGTTCAGTAAAGCCAGGACTACCATCAATATAATAAAACCATTTCTGTAGAGAACTAGTAGCAGGTAGTTTAATAAACTGTCTTAGATATTCATATGCCTTACTGGAATAAAAGTGAAGAGTTAAAGCAAACTTTTTAACTTCTGGATATTCATCACCTTCATTACCAAAAAGCTGATGTTTTAATAGATCACGAAGCAGTCCATTAAAGTTATTTTTCTATCATTATAGCATCGGATTTAGAAAGCATTTCTCCGAGCCCTTGAATAATGTTTTTTAAATTGACAATCTTATTTTAATTTCTATTATTAGACTGTCTGCTATATTTAAGTTTCTTTTGTAGCCGTTCACATTTTTTGTCTTGTTAAAATTAACATTTCACGCACCTTCTTTGGCAAACAATATGCGTGATCAAAAGAGACTGATACTTCACATTCTCTCTTTGCAATTTTTTCTTTAGAGGCTTCTGAAATAGGGTCTTTAGATGTTCGTTTTCTTTCCGAACGTTTTATTGCAGGGATTTTTTGAAGATGCGGAGGAAATGAAAAAATTGTAGGAACAGAATTTGGTTATAAATATATTCTACCATTATTATAACTGAAGCATGCCTTAAATTCATAATTTGATATGTATAAGGTTTCTATCCAAAACATTTCTAATTATTTAAATTCTTATAAATTAGACAGCGTTTCGAAGTAAGTTCGACTTTTCGTTTACTTCTATTAAATTAATTTTTAAACATTTTATTAGACAAAGAATAGTACTGTATAGTGTGAGCAAAATTAATAATTATAACTTACTTGTGAAATGAAATTTCCGAACATTTCTTGTAACTGTTGATACAATTGATAGTGGCACAAAAATATGACATGATTATTTCTTACGGTACGCTTCACTATAAACCCACTGAAACTGTCATGGCGTCCTTCTCTTCAATCAGCTTTAAAAAGCGGCGCTGTAATCACTGCTACTGGCAAGATCTATATTAGAAGGTCAGGACACGCTTGACCTACTTCTTGAGCCGCAATTTTGGGGATTTTTAAGTCGCATGTTTTAAGCAAACTTGTACGAGCAGTTAGTTTTATACAACACTAGCTTACCCTTCGCGCATTGCTGCGATCTCAGAAGAAACGAAATTCAACTGTGAGGCCCCGGAAATAGCCCCCGCAAAAGGGAAAAATATAAAAAAAAAAAGTTTGTTAAGTTAAATCGTCAAGAAAGCAAATTATATAAGTATCGAATCGGCGATACCGGACTTTGACGTCAGCGCTCATAAAGAATAACGGGAAAAACAAAATTTTAGATATAAAAGAAGAAAATTTAAAATATTAAAGTTAAGACGCAGTTTAGAAAGCAAAACGAAACTAGAAAAAAAAATATCAAAAAGCATAGGTGTCATAATCAACAATTAAACGCGATCAGAGTCGAGAATGATGGTGTCGGATAAACCATCTCCAGCCGACCTTTCTCGCGAACCTTACGAAGCTCCATTTACACCTGGAGACAGGTGGAAGACCAATTAGAAAACGGTGATGT